AAAATATATACAATTTACTGAATAAAGTAGCGCTTGTTATTTTTTTATAAACGGTAGTTCATTACGTGCAAACAAGCTAAAAAACGCGTACACGCGTCTACACCATAGGAGGTCGAATAATCGGGATTGCTAACAAGTAGTGTAACGGGCAATAAAAAATAGGTATAACAGCTTTCGACGAAATCATTTAAGCATGATAATTAACTATAGGATATTATGGCGTGTGTCAAGCAACTGCTAATTGGATAAAGTAATTGATAACGCAGAACAATTATAATATTTTAATTAAGGGCAATAATATAAATTAGAAAATTAATATGTAAATATTTTTTAATTTTAATGTACTTACATACGTATACATGTAAACTAATTGGGGGTTTTAATCTTTTTATTATTAAAAATGTCTGCATTCTTGTAAACCCTTAACCAATATTGGTAACAAAATTTGCGAGAGATTAGATTAATTCTTTTACTATTTACGAAAGAATTTTATATTTTTGCGTATTATAAAAAATTATCTTCTTCCATTCATCAACTTTTTGCAGGTATGGTTTCAAAATCGGAGAGCAAAGTGGCGTAAGACAGAGAAATGTTGGGGCAGAAGTACCATAATGGCAGAATATGGCTTATATGGAGCAATGGTCCGGCATTCCTTACCACTTCCGGAAACGATTTTAAGAAGTGCCAAGGAAAACGAATCTGTTGCACCCTGGCTGTTAGGTAAATATCTCTAGTTAGAATTTTAATGATTTTAATAATTTAAGTGTACAATATATGTTTCTGCAAATCTGTTTTTAAAAACTTGAATTAAAAATTATTTGATTATGATTATATCCAAACATTTTTTTCTCTCTCGTCCATAAAATTGGATAAGATTGCACTAACAATAACAGTTTTGCATTACAAAAGAAAAAGACGGTAAAACGCTGAATATTAAAATATAAATATAACATAATCTTTGCTTACATTAGAGATTTTTATTATTTATTATCTTGACAACTAGACATTAAATAATTTTAAAATATATTTTTGTAGTTAATTAGTGCAATTTTAGTCTATTACTATCGAAAACCGGAGAAAATCTTATCTTTACGTTCCGATAAAATCATTTAAGATAAAGCGGCGCGACAAATTTCGAATATTTTTTCTGTTGGTTTTTATCAGCTCAATCATCTAAGACAAGCAGCTTTAATCAAGATTTCGAATATAATCAAGAACTGATTGACTGTGGACCTGTAGGGATGCATCGGAAATCGCTCGAGGCAGCAGAGCATCTCAAATCCGGTGGAGAGGACAGCGGCAACGATCAAAACGGAAGCGGAAGCAGTCCACATCATAATCATCACCAAGGAGGACCAACCAGTTCGGAGAGCGGACAGGAGAGTCAGGATGGTATGGGCCCTTCGTCATCTACGAGTAAGTTTTATATATTCTGCTTAGATAAGATAAATTTTAGATAAAAATTCTGTTGCAATATTGACAACAATAGAATAGCAAATATGTATATGTGTATGTGTATATATATATATATATATATATATATATATATAGTATA